CAGGAGGTGCATTCTGCACAATATAGGAATCAGACCTTTAGAATTGAGGCAACTACCCTTTGGAATCCGCCCCCCCCCAATATATATTTATTTATTTATTTACTTACTTACTTACTTACTTACTTACTTACTTACTTACTTACTGCATTTATATATCACCTTTCCTCAAAGGAACTCAAGGTGACATATATGTCTCTATTCCTCCCTAATTAGACTGAGAGGCAGTGACTGCCCAAGGCCACTCAGTGAGTTTCATGCCAGGCAATTTGAACCCTGGTTTCCCAGGCCCTCGTCAAACACTTTAACCACTACACCATACATATTAGTCAGGTATTGTCTCTATTGGGGTTTGGAGCTTATTTGCTTGCCAACAAGCCTTTTAAGTTGAGATCTTTCCCAGTTTGCATCTGTACTGAGATTGTTTTTAGATGTTTTAATTTTTTCACCCATTGTGTGTTTGATGCTGTTTTCTCTCTTTTGGAGAAAGGGTGGGATATAAATTTAACAGAATAAAATATAAAAATTATCAGAAGCACCTTAACAAAGTTTTGGGCAACAAGATTTGTTAACCTTTCTTATAGTCAAACATGGGTATTCCAAGATATCTAATGTAGTCTTTTTCAAAATAGGAAGTTGCTTTTAAAGTACACATAGGCATGAACACATACAAGCTCAATTCCGGCCAAGGCAATGAGGCTAAAACATCAGAGGAGGGGGCCACACAAGCTGTTTGTATATATGCTATTACATAAGTTTATCTGTACTTCTCAATTTTTGAACATATCTTAACTGAACAAACCCAGAACCATTCCTTGACCAATCCAAGTTTGACTCCGTGTACTCTGTGCCAATAGATTGATCATTGGAAGTATCTTAGATAGCAGCTATAATTTGAACTAATTGCTAATAATCTTGGTGCTTTCAGAAAAGCCTCCACAGGGCTTACTTCCAAGTAATCATCTTCCGAATCAGATTCTAAAGTGGATTAGAATCAATGTAATAAGAAGCACCTTTGTTTACAAGTGTAAGCCAGGAATGGGGGCCCTGGAGTCTAGATTCAACACACAAAACAATTTATCTGGACCCTGAGTAGATACTGACTGGGCCTGGTCAACTGGAACACACTTCACCAGTCTCGAAAAAGTTTCTGAGCACAGCTGAAATTGCTAGCTCACCTTTCATGCCCAAACATTTTGGGACTTTAAAGAATCACCTTCTCCCATGTGAACCTTTCCCTGTATTAATATAATCCTTAGAGGCCCATCTCTAGGCTTCACCTACCAGGTATTGCCTAGGCACAGGGTCTTTTCAATTGTGGCACCCAGGCTTTAAAATGCTCACCCCAGAGAGGCTTGCCTAATGGAGACTATGGTGTTTTTCTGCACCAGGTGAAGACATTTCTATTTCCCAATACCTTCTAAATCTTAGTTTTCACGCTGGCTACTAACTGTTTTGCTAGTTTCAATCATTTGTAATTGGTACTATTGTTTTAAATTATTGTAATTAACAAATAAATACATTCTTGAAACATTTCCCCTGGTGCCTTCATTACATATATTTAGGCACCAGGCAAAAACATTCCCCTTCTCCCAGGCCTTTGACTAATTAAATGATCTATGGCCCTTTCTGATGAAGGGTGGTATAGAAATTCAATATAATAAAATCATCATCATAATTTCCCTTCTTCGTGCAATTTCCACCTTGGGCCCAAAGGCCTCCGTTCCATAATTCTGAAGTACTTACTGCTTCATGGCACCATATTTAATACAAAGTCTGACTTATTTGTGTGGAGAGTTGGATCAGTTTGTGAAGCAAAATGCCCCCACAGCACTTCATGGTGGGTTGGGTCTTTTTCTGCTACACGTAATTCAAGAAGGTTCTAAGATGCAACTTTTTTCTTTTTAAGGACAAGGCAAAAGAGACAAAGAGACACATGTCCACTACAGCAAAGAGAGAGAGAGAAAAGACAGGCTGGGACCAGTAACCAGGAGTGCTCGGGGCTTGTCAAAGCATTCCAGACTTCCTCTCAGAGGTGTCACTGCCCTTTGCTAACCAAAGAACAGACTTGTCAATGCATCCCTCTGCATTCTGGGGTTTCTGTTTTGTCACCTATTCCTGCAATCTCCCCAGGGGATCTGCTAAACAAGCCTCAAGTTTTTAAACAAACAAGACTTTAATTGAGAAGCACATGCAGAGACAGAAAGAACTAGCCAGCCGATTGGAATTAATAATAATAAAAAGGAACATATTTAGAAGTGTTCATAAAAGAAGAAGAGGAGGGGGAGGCGATGGGCCCCAAGAATACGTCATACCTGTAAGCACACAGTATTACTCCTTTCATAAGATCCCCTTGATGAAATGTGTAGGATTTGACTGCACCCTGTGAAGAGCTGCTTTTCCCAACAAGCTTTTCCCAGGGTGTTGAAAAGCTATCATTCATAAAAAATTATTGAGGGGGAAGGAGGTAGCAAAGGGGAGTTCAGAAGGCCACTAGCTCCAGTCGAAACTACAGAATAAGGTTCTCTGTAGAGCGAGCACCTGTTTTGCAGCCTCCACAAAAGCTGAACTAGAAAGCCTAAGATCCCAAACAGGGGGCGGAGGGAGAGAGAAAATATCTAAATGAGAGCTTGTTCTTGTGTCAGAATACGAGTTTTAACCCACGGACTGCTGCATGAAGTCTACTCTAGAGTGAAAGGATACAACACACATTTGCAATAAATATGTATCAGGCAGAGACCCACACAAAAGTTGAGTGGAATCTAGCCTAAGGCAAGCTTTGTCAGATTCTTGTGATACCAATGGGAAGTTAAGTATTTGCTTAAGCCTTGGCCACTGAAATCAATGAGACCTAAGAATGCTTAGCTTTAGGAGGCTAATGTCTGTTGCTACTAACAGTGTTTGTTAATTAATTCAGTGGAAGGATCAAGTTTATTGTGGTGGTGAGGGGGTAACCTCAGGTTAGGCTGATACACTAATTACTACTCCTGAAAAGGAAGTTTTGCCACAGTTGTCCAACTCCAGATTGGTATGAATCATTTAGTACACCAATTTAGTGTTCATAATAATGTAAGTAGCTTTGCTGTCCTTTATCTGCTGCAGAGCAGAAAACAAAATATCAGGAAATGTATTAGAATACTTGGCAGCACAGTTTCATGTTGGTCCAACATGGAATTAAGAGTCAATGGTGCTATTTAGCTAATTTTGCTCAGAATCAACCCACTGAAATTAAAAAACACAACTAATTTTACTAGGTCTACTCTGAGTAAAACTAAACTTCCCCATCCACAGGCTTGTATCCAACATTTGCAGGACTTCCCCCCTCTCCCCTACCTGTGTGCCCCCCGGCTCTCTGAATATGCTCTGAAGAGTTGGGAACCCCCAGAACAGATGGGGGGTGGGTTTCATGGAGAGAACAAATGTGTTTACTTTTTTAACCGAAATGATCTAGATTTCATGGTTAAATAACTCTATGCATGTTTGTAGCTTAAGAGCACTGAATATCTTTTGTTGTTTGTGGAAAAACATGGAGAGAACTGGTTTGTAATATATTTGGCAATAAAATAAAAAGGTAAAAAGAACTTGCCCTATGCCATCAGGCAAATTTATATATGTTTCCATACTCAAGTATCAAGGTGACATATACCGTATTTTTCGCCCTATAAAAAAAAGGTAAAGGTACCCCTGCCCGTACGGGCCAGTCTTGACAGACTCTAGGGTTGTGCGCCCATCTCACTCAAGAGGCCGGGGGCCAGCGCTGTCCGGAGACACTTCCAGGTCACGTGGCCAGTGTGACATTGCTGCTCTGGCGGGCCAGAGCCGCACACGGAAACGCCGTTTACCTTCCCGCTAGTAAGCGGTCCCTATTTATCTACTTGCACCCGGGGGTGCTTTCGAACTGCTAGGTTGGCAGGCGCTGGGACCGAGCAGCCGGAGCGCACCCCGCCGCGGGGATTCGAACCGCCGACCTTTCGATCGGCAAGCCCTAGGCGCTGAGGCTTTTACCCACAGCGCCACCCGCATCCCTCGTTTCGCCCTATAGGACGCACTTTTTCCCCTCCAAAAATGAAGGGGAAATCTGGGTGCGTCCTATGGGGCGAATGCAGGCTTTCGCTGAAGCTTGGAGAGCGAGAGGGGTCGGTGCGCACCGACCCCTCTCGCTCTCCAGGCTTCAGGAAGACATCTGCAGCCTAGGCAGCCCTGCGGGAGGTCCCGCAGGGCTGTCTAGGCTGCGGATAGCAGCCTGCTTCCCGGAGCATCGGGCGCTCTGAAAGCAGAGCGCCCGGCGCTTCGGGAACACATCCGCAGCCTAGGCAGCCCTGCGGGAGGTCCCGCAGGGATGTCTGGGCTGCGGATAGCAGCCTGCTGCCCGGCGGGCGGGGCGCCCTAAAGCAGAGCGCCCCGCGTGCCGGACAGACATCCGCAGCATGGGGAGCCCTGCAGGAGTTCCCCGCAGGGCTCCCCACACTGCGGATAGCAGCCTGCCGCCCGGCGCGCGAAGCACCCTGAAGTAGAGCGCCCCTCGCACCGGGCAGACATTGGCCAGCCCCACAAGCTCAGGGGACAGCAGGGAGGCGCAGCGCCGCCATCCCGCTGTTCCTCAACCTGGTTCGGCTTCCCCAACCTGCTTTTGGGGGGCAAATAAAGGAAAAAAAATTCCCTTTATTTCCCCCCAAAAAAACTAGGTGCGTCCTATGGGGCGGAGCGTCCTATGGGATGAAAAATACGGTAATTGATGATTGCACCACCACCCAACCTTGTCCTAGGACTCTGATACAACATTTGATTCCGTTTGTTTTATAATGAATTAAAAATGTTAAAATACTCAATTATCAAAATAAACTATTTGGATTGTTGCATTATGCTTTGAAGTGAATTAGCATTAGACTGTTAGCATACTGGTGTATTGATATGCATTTTTGCTGTCGCATTGAAAAGTCCCTTTGGGCTCACAGTTGAAACTGAGAGAATAAATACGCAGCGTCATCTATGTGCCTGGTGCTGTACAAGAGCACAGCTCCTTGCTCCTAAGAACTTGCAGCGTGAAATTCGCAGAGGAGAAACAGAGGAAGGAGAAGTAAGCATGGGGAAAATGTGTGTTTGTTTTCATTTCCTCTTTAATAATCGTTTGCCTGATATTGCATGTCAGTAAACTTGAAAATGTTGTTTTATCTTGTTTTGATAAGAGTTCCTAAAGATCTGTGGAAAAGTTCAATACAAATGTTGGACTCTCAGTATAAAGAAAAACCCTGAAGATCATGTCAGCATTCTAAAGTGAGTTTGACTTTTTAAAAGTTCATACCTTGGGGAGGTGGGAGGCCAAAAGTTATTTTTAGTTTTAAATTTAATGTGGGGAAAAGAGGAAATTATCCTTCTGTATAAGGAATTTTAATTAAAGCCGCAGCCACCCAAAGAAAGCTTTTGTAAATTGAATGTCTGATAGAAATTTCTGCATATCTGTTTTGGTCGGCACTAATGCCAATAAAGTGCCGACCAAAACAGATATGCAATACCCTTGTGTCATCATGTAAAGAAACTGCAAAAAAGCAAACCAAAAAACTCCATTGTTTTCCCCAAAGATTTTCTAATATTTTAAGCCTTTCAAGGACAAAAATACTCTTCAGAGAAGCATTTTATCAGAACCTTGGACAGCACTGCAGAGACTGTTCATCTTATTTTGCCCCAAGATGTTCTGCATTTATTGTGCTTCATGAAATTCTGAATTTACAATCTTCCATTTTGATCCAAATATTGAATTTCATGTAAGATGCATTTATACTGTGGAACCTACCATGCCAGAATGACAAAATTAGAAGCATTCTGAAGCATTTTAAGGAAGCATTTTAAGGAATATTTAACATATTTCAAAACAAAACCAGTTTTCAGTCAGCTTCAGACTGATTTTGCTTTTAAAGAATAATTGTTAGTGAAGGGAAATAATTTAGAAATATTTCTTTATAATGGCATTTTTTAAAAGCCCACAGCAAGTCAACAGTTACCAAAAGGCACAGTGTACAAGTCAATTAAATAATGGATTCATACCTTTCTATCTGATTTTTCTATCTGATAGCACACACTTTCTGCGAGGATTCAGTTACCCATTATCATGAAAACCCAAATCCTCACTTGCTTTTAAAGAAAAGGGGGAGAAAACTGATCTCTTTTGTTTAGCAAGATTGCCACAAGCCTTGATCTGACTACTCTCTTTCCTTTCAATCTTGTAAAGGCATTTTCCTATCATTAGTTGATGCCCTATATTAAACCTCAAGCCTGCAAAGCACACCCCTCAGAAAACACAAGACCGCGGAAGGAGGACAGGGAAGCTGTTGTGCTCAAAAGAATTAATCCATCCTGGAAAATCAAGAGCTGATCAACCTCAATACAGTAATCAGCATGGTTTCCACTGTAAAAGCCGTGCATTTTCTACTTAGAACTAAAATTTTACCCATTACATATTTTCAACAAACAAACAAACAAAGGAGAAAATGCTTCTCTATGCCTTTGTTCTTCCTAGCCTCTTATTTATGGACTAGTTAATCCTTGGGGTTCCTCCCAACTACAGTTCTGTGCTTCCTGATTCCATGGGCATGTGCAGAGCCCACAAGTCAACACTCTTCAATTGCAGCCACTGACACAAAGGAGGAAAAGCAGAACGCATTTTTAAAAATATTGCATGCCAACTGGGTATACTTGTTGCACACAATTTTTACTGTCATTCTGAACTGCATTTTCCTTCCAGCAACCATTTTCCAGAAACATGCTTTAAATATTAACTATCAGTTGCAAATATCTACAGTGCAACACTTTGCCTGTCTACTCAGAAGTAAGTCTCAACACAATTATAGCCTCAGGTACACATAAGATTACAATGCTGAAGTTTCAAAATTCCAGTTGAATCTGTAATACCGTCTTTTTCAACATTCTCCACTAAAACTAAAATAAATATTGAAAAGGGTGAAAAGAAACATTAGAGAATAAAGTTATGAACAATTTTATTTTACTAGAACACGAGTTCTTATGCATAATTTGAGATTGTATTCTCTTACAGCTGTATTTTTATTTCCCATGACAACCACAACAAAAGTATGGATTACTTACAGAGAAGCCCCAGTGAAATGGAAGTAGTTTATACAAAAGTAGCCCAATTTCTCACTGGAATTATGTTTTTTGTTTAAGCACAATTGAAATGCTAAATGCATGGCAGATTTTTTTTACTCAGCATGCTCACATCACTTGAAAGAAGTGCCTGTCAACATATTTGTGCCTAGTGAGATGTTACTGCCGCCCTGAAGCTGTGCTGCTGATCATGGGGGGGGGGGGGGAATCACCACTGGAATTGTGTGGTTCAACTTACAGGGCATATGAAAGCATCCCTGGTCTTCTTATGGAAATATTTCATCTATGCCAAATACTTAGCTGAACTTCCTTCTGTTCTCTCCCATGTGTTCCATTAAAAAAGGGGGAATATATTGCTTGTGTATTCATTAAATCACATTCCTTTTCTGCTTTATTGGGGTGGGTATGCGTGAGAGAGAAGACGGTCGGTGTTAATAACATGTGTTTGATTATTCCAACTTAAGGCAAACCACGTTATTATGTGAGGGAAGCTGCAGTAGCTTATCTTAAAATAATACACATTTTTGGAACACATGCCCAAAGTTTGGAAACTGAAGGAAGCGTGTTAAAATATTAAGAATTAATTTGTTCTGGTTTTTGTTTTTACCTGAGAAAATGAATTTGGGGCACAGGGAGTTAATTGACCACTGTCTCTCTCCCACCCATCTCATTCATGCCACATTCCACAGTGGCAGAGTTCAACAACAATACAGAATGGTATCCAAAATAGAAAGGCAGAGCTTTCCATTCTTCAGCCTCTCTTGAATTAATTAACTGGAAATGAGTTTTGTCAATGTTTAGGGAAGGTACGGGGTGAAAAGAAATTGCTAGAATTAATCACAGTGAGAAACTACCTCTTAAGTCTTCCAGAGTTTAGAAAAAGCTCATGAGAAGCAAAATAATAATAAAAGGGTAAGTGGGCTGACTTACCAAGGGAACAAATAAAATTCAAACAAACATCCAGTTCTCTAGAAACAGAGACAAGCCCTGGGACAGTTAAACCTAACACCTGCTGCTGCTGCTGCAGCTTCTGCATTTTTTTATTTGCTTTGCAAATGGTAAATTACAGAAGAACTCTGATGTGTAAATAGTGTATCAGTTTTTTGCAATGATAAATTGATATTTGTAATAAATAAAAAAGAGCGACAAACAATTCTAATGGTTGAAATGTATGAGGGCATATTTCAGTAATTCCTCAGAAGATGGCTTCTCATGTTCACCTAAAGTGAGGACAGAAAATTCATGAGTGATTAAGAGTCTGATATGTTGTGTTTACACAAGGGAAAAAATGCATTATTGCAGGCAGACATATTCATCTCCCACCTTTTCATACACTTGGAGGTAAGCTTCCTTTTTTGCAGCTTTAGATGAAAATACTAATACAAATAATATGAATACTAATAATATTGTTTATACCCCACCCATCTGGCTGGATTTCCCCAGACACTCTGGGTGGCTTCTGGCAAAATATAGGGGGGGGGGATGTCAAACTTTAAAAACTTCCTGATACAAGCCCGCCTTCAGATGTCTTCTAAGAGTTATGTAGTTATCTCCATGGCATCTGATGGGAGGGTGTTTCACAGGGAGGCCCTCTGCCTGGTTCCTTGTAACTTCACTTCTCACCAGAAGACCCTTGGAAGTGGACCTCAGTGTCTGGGCTGAATGTTGGAGGTGGAGACACTGGACTGAGACTGTTTAGGGCTGTAAAGGTCAGCACCAACACTTTGAATTGTGCTCGGAAACATACTGGGAGCCAGTGAAGATCCTTTAGGACTGGTGTTATATGGTTTTGGCGGCCGCTCCCAGTCACCAGTCTAGCTGTCGCACTCTGGATTAATTGCAGTTTCCAGGTCACCTTCAAAGGTAGCCCCACACAGAGCGCATTGCAGTTGTCCAAGCAGGAGATAACCAGAGCATGTACCACTCCGGCGAGACAGTCGGCGGGCAGGTAGGGTCTCAGGCTGCATACCAGATGGAGCTGGTAAACAGCTGCCCTGGACACAGAATTGATCTGCACCTCCATGGACAGCTATGAGCAGAGAGTCCCCCATACCCACCCACACCATACTTCTGTCGTGTCTGGATGCAATCTCAATCTGTTAGCCGCCATCCATCCTCCAACTGCCTCCAGGCATCTAGCAGCTATGAATTAGTTTGGTAGATACATTATATTTTTAATTAATGGAACAAAAGAGTGAAAACATTATCAGCCAGGTATCCATAATTTGGGATTTGCAGTTTATTTGGTACTAACATTTTATTCAATCTAGGAAGGTTTAAAATTAGCCTTTGATTTTGGTAAGAAATAATGCCAACAATCTGGTTGAGAGTCTATTTTATACTACATTGGTATCGTATCCACAGCAAAACAGATGAAAACCATTCAGTTTGCTTATAGATGTGGTGTCTTTCCACTGGATCTCAAAATCAACTTCTGATCTCGTTTCTCAACTTTCAATCCCATCTTCTCCAGGACAGAATTGTCAGCCAGTCCCTGCTGCTCCATCCGTGCAATGAGTTCTTGGTTTCTTTCATTCTGTTCTGTGAGGTTGCGAATTGTATATACTGCCCACTGGCTTACAACTGTTGAAAAGAGTTAAGGAATTTATCCCATGTTCATTTCCAGTTAATGTATATAATATGCGGCACATGTTACAAATACTTGTATTTCAATAAATTAAACAGACTGATTAAATCCATATTCTCATTTACAAAAGTCACTTTAACCACCCAAAAGTCTGTGTTAAGGGAATGCCAGTTCACAGATATCAGAAAAACAGGCCATGGTCCTGTACTCAGCTACGTGTATGCCACTGCTATGAAGGACAAAGTAGAAGCTCTCATGACTATGTACAGAATTATAGTTAAAATCAAATGTGTGACCAAAATATTCAACATGAACCTAGTATGGAAGAAGGTTTTAATGCAGGAAATTAGGTGTAAGAAAAATGCATCCAGACCAAAATCTCCCCCCCCCTTATATTTTTAATAGCATAAACATAAACAGAGCCTGTTAGGTCTTGCCAAAGGCCAGACTAGTCTGGAATTCTGTTCCCAGTGGTGAATAAGATGACAATGGGAAGCCTGCAAGCATATTTTCCATATTTTAATATGTTCTATCATGTATACTTATATTTTAGGATTATTGGTTGTACTTTGTTTATAATATTTAAGTTATTTCTTGACATGTGTTGCTTCTGTAAAATGAAAAATGAATTACCTTTTTAAAGTCACCAAACTATAACTACTGGTTTTGGAAAGACACTTAGAGCTAGGATAGCCTGCAATGATCCATTCCTCTTTCATGGTGGTCTCCCTTCAAGCAAAGTTTCAGGCAAATGTTAGATCCGGGTTTAATAATTTCCATCATCATCAATAAACTACATCCTGAGCATTCCATTAAAACTATTTGCTTAAATGCTGCAAGCAAGGTGTTATGTCACAGAATGTAATTGCTCTCAAAAACACCTACAGAGGAGACAAGGAATTCCAACTCTCCATGCAAGAACAAAATGCCTGCAGGGCACCAATTATTTGCTACATGTAGCTTCACATACAAGAGAAAGCTGTGCATAATTTACTCATATCCTTCATAGTTTCTTGCTAAGTTCCACATGGCCATTCACCTGCAGGGCATAAGCAGAGCTGTCTGGAGTCTGGGTGTGGCAAGAATACCAGTCAAAAGAGAGAAGACTAGAAAAGTATGGAGGAGTATTGGTCAACATGGACCACTGCTGTGTATCCCATGTAAATTTAATAAACAAGAAAAGCCTAGTTGAAGTTGGATCTTCGAGTATACTAGACTAATTTTTACTGTGAATTCCCTCTAACAACCTTAGACCAAAGCATGAAACACAACTGTTTATGACCAGAGATTTGCCCTAATTAACGAAATGAGGAAAGGTAAGTAGATGGATATAATGCAGAGGAGGGAAACAAAGACAGCCATGTAGTCTGGCAGTGGAAAGTAACATAGTGCTAGTTTACCCAAGCTAATGCTATTTTGGCAATATGTTAATTCAAGAACAGATTTGAAGCAGAGCTCCACCGATTTTATTCACTACTAGCACAGAGAACATGAAGACCTTTTCAGAGAGCTGTACCATATTGTCAACTTGGCAGAAAAGGATAGTGATCAATGGGATCTCCAAGTGTCACAGATTCTAATTATGGTCACATGACACTCAGCAGCACATTATTAGCATTTGATTGACTTGAGTATAGCTTTCTGGAAGAATGCTAGGAAGTTGTTTCTTTAAAAGCTGGTTGCAATGTACAATTGTCTGCTTTTAATATGAAAAATTAGACCATTGAGGATATTTGCCATGTTAGGACAATCCAAAAGGGTTTATTGCACCCACAATATAAATGAGTACCAAATAATATAGTTTTAATTATAAGAGAGTGACTCAGACTTGCAGCAGCAGGGCTTAATAGAGCGATGGAGCCACTGTCCCATCCACAGTCCCACCGCACATATTGGCTGGAGTGGAAGGGCAGGAGCCATGAAGAAGGGATGGATCAGACTTGTTGCCATCACAATGGCAGCAGATCCCTAACCAGCCCAGTTCTGCCCTGTCCTGAAACACCAGCAGAAATGCCACCAGCAGTATGGCAGACACATGGAGGCACTTCTTTATGGACATGCCTATGTCAGGCAACCCTGCTCCAGTCCAGTGCATAGGGGCCCTGAACAGGGGCTCTCAGTAACTAAACAAAGGGTTGGAAAAAGCAGGTTATCAATATAAACATCAGTATGGATTCTCATTGTTTTAACAGAGCATTTTCAAGTTTAGTGTATTCTGCATGTGTTTATGCCAATAAACTTTTAATTTTTTTAAAAAGACCACCATGTAGAGAACATCAGCTTCATGATCTGGCCTGCTAATTAAGAGTGTCT